AACTCCAGACCAGAGGAAGGAGGGGTCATTTAAACTCTTCTCTTCAGGCAAGGAAATGTCTAACAGCATTTTCACACATGGGCTTTAAATTGCTTTTGAAATTCTCTATTTGTGGCTATTTATATGAAATATAGAAGCACTGTAAGCACCAAAGTTCAGTTCGGTTCAATATATTTGCTTAAAGCCATCTGTCTGTGCAAAACAGCAATCAGGCATGTATACCAAAAGTTTGGCTGGAGTGACGTGTATATATCCCACATTCAGTTAACGCCAAGCCGTACATTTAAAAGATTAGAACTGAGGCAAGGCCTCCAAGCTTGGTATGACAAATTTAAATTAGGAGAGCACCTTTATAAGAAACAGTGAAATACTATAAGTACTGGTTTTCTCAGCTACAAAAAGTGCCATTTTATAAGTCGCATTTTTATCCAAATGAGACAGCAGGTAACACAGCTTTTCAAATGCGGTTAGCCTAGTGATACTCCTGAATAGCCCTAACAGAAATCTTCTCCTGTATAGAGTGCAGGGGGTGTACTGAGTTAAGCTCTCAACCAACCTCTTGTTGACACATATGTACAATCATTGGTCTACTGGGACTCTGTCGTAGCTGCCAATCAAATATGTCAGAAACAGCACTGGGGACACTGGGGGCAGAGTGGGAGTATGCAGAGGGCAGTCTGAAATCCTCCAAAGACTTAAGTGATGTTAAGTCTTTGGAACTGTGTTGACTGGGTACATAGCACTGTTTTTGAGTATGTTGGGACAAATATATAGTGATGCAAAAAATTATACTCTGCCTGAAAAAGTACTTTCACAGCTGTTCAACTCAGCTCTTCTATGCAGTTATGCAGGCATCTTAGGAGACCGGTTCTTGTCTTTCCCTCATACCCCTAAGCAGTACAATAGGAGATGCATACATAAAGTGGCACATGACCTTGCTAAACCCTATCGTAATTGTGGGGACCACAAGGGTTCCTGCCCTGAGTCAAGGAAAAAACCTGAAAACAGCCTATACTGACTATGGGTGTGCGTTCAGTATAAACTGAACTGAATAAATACCCGAAAAATACCTTATCGGTATTTTTCAGGTATTTATTCGGCCGAATGCAGATTAGACAATCTGATTCGGCTACCCATATAGCTGGCCTGAATAAAAGCCAATATTATTTGACTTTTATTCGGGCCAGCTATATTGCCAAGTCGTGCTGCTGTGGCTTAGAGAAGGCATTCCCTTCACACATGGGGGCATGCCATTGTGGTGGTGTGACTCCACAAGTGAAGGGAAGGCATTTTAAATGCCAAATAAATTTGGGTTTCCTGATTATTTACCTGAATCCCAATATCACACAGATATTTGGATTCAGGAATATCTGGAAATACCGATATTTTTCTAATCCAATGGACCCGAATCCAAAAAAATTGATTTTTTTTCTCTCTGCACACCCCTAATGCTGACTGAGAGCTATAAAATATTGGGGGAGCAGAGGGTGTGGTTGAACAGAGCATCTGCTTTGCATGTAGAAAGCCCGAGGTTCAATCTCTGGTATCTCCAGTTAAAAAGAGCAGAAAGCAGCTGATGTGAAAGACCTCTACCTGAAACCCTGGAAAGCCACTGCCAGACAGAGTAGACAATACTGGTCCAATTCGATATAAGGCAACTTCTCATTGTACATCTAGAGTCACAGATGTGCCCTTTGCCAGAAAGAAATCCCTGTATAATTAAAGTTGTAGAATAGTTTGGTTTGAACCAGGGCTTTTTTTGTAGAAAAAGCCGAGCAGGAAATCATTTGCATTATAGGCCACACCCTGATCGCACAGCTTATTAGCATATTAGGCCACACCCCATGCCTTCTCTTGGCTTGCCCGGGCGTTTGAACTGCCTTCCCTTGGCTTGCATGGGCGTCCCGCGGCTGCGGGAAGCCCAGGCAAGCCGGCCCTTGGACAGGCTGGGGAAGGCACGGGGAGGCATTTAAATGCCTCCCTGGTCCTTCCAGGGCCCCCTGACCCGCCTGCCTTGGAGTCGCTGGGGGGGGTCCGCCACTCTCCAGGCCTTCCCTCTGTAGCCATGCACACGGAGGTTTTGGCTGTAGTGGGCGTGGCCAACTCTGAAGCCAGCCAGAACTCCGTTCCTGTGCGTTCCTGCCCAAAAATAGCCCTGGTTTGAACACTACCTGTCTAACAGAAAACTTAGCTTTGCAATAATTGACGTTCAGCTGCTCATGCTGGCAAAAGACCTCAGATCTTTTGAGCAGACATCTGAGCCCTACCTGCCTCAAAGAGATAAGGGCTATGTCATATGCATAGAGGCTGACAGCAGCTTTATAGTTTAAAATGGTGAAGTGAATGCAGATGAGAAAGCAGAAGAAGAAATGCCCTCCACTTTGAGCTACATCACACTATGGAAAATTTTGGGACTGCAAAATCCCCACATTAACCCCAAGAGTTCATCTTTCAATAAAAGGACAGGAAACAGAAGTCAATTGCTACAAGCATCCCCCATCCAGGCAATAGCTCTCACAAGTACCCAGTACTTAAAGTTTGGTTAGGCAATGCTTCCAGCCAGCAGAGAACAATCAAAGGGGCCATATCACATCCTGGCAAGAATGAGACATCTAGAAGAGGATGGAGATGTACAGATGCCAAAAGCCAGATTGGATAGATTTGAGTCCAGCAGAACCTTACAGACCAACAAGATTTTCAGGGTATAAGCTTTTGAGAGTCAAAGCTCCCTTTGTCAGATTTGTCAGATTTGGCCCCGGTCACACGAAAGGTTTTGGGTCGGTAGAGGGACGGAACGGGGACACAGCAAACGTGCACGATCCCACAGCAACATCTGGGAATCGTGCTGCTTGCGTCCCCGATCCGCCCCTTCCACCCAAAACCCCGCACCAAAACAGAACCACCTACCTTGGTGGTTCATCTGAGAAGTGTGCCCCAAGCCCGGCCGTGGGATCGCCGGCGCGTCCTTGCGCCGGCGCATCCCCGGCCCCTGGCCGAACTGCGCATGTGTGAGCATGCGCAGTTTGCCAGCCTCCCCTTCCCACCGTAGCTTTCTCCCCGGCATCTGATCGTGCCGGGGAGAAAAGGCGCCGTGGCTCAGGGGATCCGTGGGATCCCGCCGCGGCATCTCAACTTTGGTGCGGCTTTTAGAAGCCGTGCTTTGAGCGAGTTTTCCCTGCCGTGTGGCAGGGGCCAATGATCTGCATAACCCTTTTTTATTAGGCTTTGTTGGTTGTACTGTCTAGCACAGTGATGGCGAACCTTTAGGGCCCTGATCTCCTCCAGGAGCACATTCCACCAGTAAGAAGTCGCCACAGAAAAGGCTCTGGTCCTGGTACTGGTGAGCCTTGCATCCTTGGGGCCCGGAATAGTCAATTGATGTTTGGGCCCCAGACCGTAGTGCTCTCTGGGGTATATATGGGGAGGGCCCAAAGCAGAATGGTGCTCATGGGTCAGCAAGGCTGTTCTGCTATAGAGGCATTTATAATGTGAACAAACATTCTAGCCTATGAAGGCTTCCCATTCAGTTCGCATAGCAAGAACCTCCTGAATGAAAATTTCATGAAGAAAGCTGTTGACTGCCACATAAGTGGCTACATGTGCAATTCTATACAGATATGCTCCAGTCCAATGTTCCCTCTAAGCTGTGGAGTCTTGTGAGCAAAAATTCTATTTTATGAGCTACTGGCATGAAAGTTGTGAGCAGGCGATTTGGCTCCTGCATAAATTAGTTTGCTCTGGAACCCTCCTTCCTGAGCTGAGACAAAAATGTGTGAGTTGGAGGCTAAAAAACTGTGAGCTAGCTCACACTAACTCAGCTTAGAGGGAAAACTGCTCCAGTCTAAGCCTATTAGAGTAAATGGCTTCTAGAGTAACTCTGCATAGGACTACACCACAAGGCACTAGGGAAGTCGTGAATTTCACACTGAACGTGTTCAACAATAAAATTTATCTTGTTTGACTGTGTTGATCGCTGGGTCTGTTTGGTTTGGCAGTGAGTGATTCAAACCCCAAAAAAAAACAGGTCTGCATCAGGTCTTTTCAGAACTGTCTATATACAAAATTGTTGCCAATCCAAACAGATGGGCAGACATTCATGTCTCAGGCCTACTTCAAAGAACACCAAACAGTAGGGGTTTTTTTAAAAAAATAAAATAAAATAAACACAGCATTTCTGATTGATTCATAAGGGGTTTGACTGATTGAAGTGTCTATTTGAACATCTGCATACCAAGGAGATCAGCTGTACAGAAAGAAGGGAAGTAAAATTCAGCTGGGTTGTGTGAGGACATGCACATGTGAAAGGCCGCTTGTGCTGCACTTTCAGGAAGGAAAGTGCTGAAGCAACTTGCCGAACAGCCACTGATGAACATGTAAACAAACCATTGAAAAATTGGCTCCCTGATCACTAGTGGCAAACAGGATTTGAGCTGACCCGGCAAGTGTTCAAGCATCACGACAAGGAACTGGAACAAGACTCAGGCAGTGTGGCGCTCACAACACTCAAAGGCATTCAGTATGGGTGTGCGAAATTCCCCCCCCCCCGGTATTTTTTGGGTTCAGGTATATTGAACCCGAAAAATATCAGAATTTCCCAATATTCCCGAATCCCAATACCAGTATGTTATTTGAATTCAGGAAATATTCGAGACGAATTTCCCCCCAGCTCCATTATACCCTATGAAGACTCTTGGTACTGGCGCCTCTCCTCAAAAAAACCCCAAACCCCTAAGTTCTAAAAAGATTGCACAAGGGGGTCCAATTCTATGGGCCCCCAAAGAAGGTGCCCCCATCCTCCAGGGGGGGCAAAGGCATTTAAAGAGACCGCAGTCTTGTTAAATGCCTTCTTAGTTCACTTGCCAAGTCGCACCTAATTTATTTTCGGCTTAAACCCCTCCACCCGAAAAATACCAGTAAGGTACAGAAGTCCTGTACAAAGGAATCCTCAGTGTAGGAAGGGCAATAGTTGCAGCAGAAGCTGGGAAGTGATCTCATCCTACCTGCATCTTTGTTCCAGACAGCGAAAACTCGAAAAACAAAGGCACTGAATGTGGCTGCAAAGAACCCGCGCCAGTAGTTTCGGACCGCAAAGTAGGTGGAAGTAACTTCGATGCTGAAGAGAACACCTAGAGGGAACAGAGATGTTCTCATCCATATGTGACAACAGCCTATTCCTCCCCCGCCCAAACATCTTGCATTCCACCAAGAGATCACCTCCACATAGCACATGTAAATAGAGTTTACAAAAGGGCAGATGTAAAGAAATAGATGGGGTTCCTCCCTCATCCCAAAAGAATACTCCCCTCCAGGTCAGGGATGAGGCCACAGTGGAAAGGAAATCTGTAAGAACCCATAAGAACCTAACTTATACTATATCTCAGCAGCACACATTGGGTTTCAAGCTTGCTTTCTTGTGGAAACCTTTCCACATTGAACTGTTTGGTTCTACTCGGGTGCACTGCGGAGCATGGTATATTCCACCATGCACGTTCATTTCACCTGCAATGCTCACTGATGCCTTGCATGAACTCAGAAGGGACTCTAGAATACACCTCTGAGCTGTACTTTGCCGGAGAAGATCCATGACGGCAGAGAAGCCATTTTTCAGGGACTGCTGCTGAAAGTTCTGTGTTTGGGGTGCTCAGCAGTTACTGAAACGTAACTCACAAGGTGTGGGTGGGTGTGAAGCAGGACCAGAGCTGTGGCATGCAGGGAGAGGGGGCTTAAACCTTTCTCCCAACTCCAGTTTGCAACCTGAAATGGCCCCGGGGTGTTTTTATTTGCCCCTTTTGGGAAATCTAAATAAAGCCCATCAGTACACATTAGGTTTGCCAGGTCCTGTGCTCTTGCCCTCAGGAGGTGGGAGGGAGATTTCCAGGAGTGAGGGGGCGGGGTGACTTTGTCATGCACAATATCCCCAACGTGATGTCTCACACAGGAAGGTCTCATTCTGCTTAGGAATACCACGGCAGTTCTTCAGGGGAAGGTGCCGGTATCTGCAATTACTGATTTAGGTATCTTAGATGAGATGACATTGAGATTCTGGACAGGGATTAGGGTGCGGGAACAAGTGTATTGTTAGAAATAGAGAGAGCCAGTGTGGTGCAGCTTGCTGGGTGACCTTGGGTCAGTCACATACTTTCTGGGCTGTTGTGAGAAAATTGAGGAGAGGAAAACGAAGTAGAAGGAGGAAGAGGAGGAGGAGGAGGAGGAGGAGGAGGAGGAAGAAGAAGAAGAAGAAGAGGTGCAGTCTCAAATCTACAGGGCTCTTTCATCGGAGACCCATGTAGTTAGAAATATTAGAAATATGGAAAGGTTTGAGTTTAAAATGAACAAGAGAGTTTACAAAATCCATGTACCCATCTCTGTCATTGCTAGAAAAACAGCTATGAGCCTGTCCCACTACACCAGACCATGATTCTTTTGAAGCCCTGTTTGCTCTAAGCAGAGCATGCCTCTCAGTGACATTCCATTCCCAGGTGTGAGACTTACAATAAGCAGCTGGTCAGTGACAGACCCCAATTTCCAGGCAATAAAATGTGTGGGACAGAATTTCACACAAACCCCGCTTTTATCACAGCTATAACACCAAAAGGACAGTTTGTTTGAATCAATATGAGTATGAGACCCACAATTTAAAGACAATAGCAATTGCAGCTGGACCCTAATTCAATATGCGATCTCAGAGACAACAGGATTTCACATACCTCACCTTCCCCTTTGAAGTAGCCCTCTGATAACTTCAAAAGGACAGTGTTGCCCCAAATGGTGGGAACACAGGAAAACAATAAAAAAACATCCCAGTAAATGAGTGTGAACTTTTGGTGTAAGGAAGGGATTTACAATCTCAACTTCCAGGAAAACAATTTACAGTAGGCAATTTCCACTTGTAAATTGGTAACTGTGATAGGATTATCAAGGAAACCCTTTGATCATTGGGTATAAATACTGGTGGAAACCCAACAGAATTTCGTTGGCTTCTGAAAGTTCAGGAAAGCTCCTGAGAGATTGGAAGTCAACCCGAAGGGGCCTCTTCGTTTCTTGCATGCTTTTGGGGTGGGTTACTTTGTCTGCACGTTCATTTTTCTGTGTGTGTTTACTGTCTATAGTTTGTTGCAATAGAAGTGTATTGTATGGCAAGTTGATACAGCGTCTTGCTGTTCAATCTTGTCAGGTAAACTCTGAATACTGAGCCTTTTTAAATAAAAACAATATATAAGAAGAGAGACCTTGGCTTGGGGTGTCTCTGGCCAGCGCTCAGCGTTTCCAAACTTTCACCTTCCGCCTTGGGTAAGGAGGCATTACATTCAGGGAAACACGAACCAGAGGGGGTGTGTGGGAACACATTTTCTTCCGACACGTACAAGCTCCTAGAGGAGACTGGATTCTGAAACAAATTTGTGATGAACAGCTCACCTCTCGGGTAGCTTCCACACAGGGAAAGCCTGGCTGGGTTTTCCCCATTCCTAGTGCAGCTGCCAATACAGCGCAGCAGCAACAGAGCTTCCCAAAGGCAGGTTTCTCAACAACTTCCTTGACCCAGTCCCCTAGAAGCAGTCATATCCCTGTCCCCAGTCCACTGGGGCTTTCCCCATTTTTTTTTAAAAAAATCAGCAATGATTGATTATATATCAATACAACTTTATAATGATACGTGTAATAGGTTCTCTGAATTTTCATCTGTCATGTTTATAAAAAAGTACTCTCCAACGCCTAATGTTTTGGAGATATACCTTTCCTCTTATATCTCTGCAACAGAAAGGGCTAGACACTTACTTTAAAAAAAAATGAAATCTGGAAACTCATAGAACCCATTACACTTAGTGTTATAACGTTCTATGGATATAAAAATATTCAGTTACTGATTTTTTTTAAAAAAAAACCAGTGAACTTTGCCACCCACAAGGCAACCATCCAAGCTTTACTACCATCTTTCCCAAAACCTGGCTGCAAAGCAGGTTTGAGAAAGGAGAAAAGTTGGGGAAACCCCAGTAGGTACATGAATGCACCACAATGCTGTGGGGAAACAGGAAAAGGATGACAACTTCCCAACAGCATTGACTCTGGGGACAGAGGACATGACCTTGTGTTTACAGAATTCTCCATCTTGTCCATGGGAGTGACTTTCAGGCATGGGGGGGGGGGGGGAGAGCCAAACTGAACAAATTAAGAGGTACAGCAAATGATGAGTTGTGAGCAAGATCTTTAAAATGCCAACACAGAGGTATAGGGAATAGCACAAATCTTTTCAGTAGATGAATCATGTCTGATAATCCAATGACTGTGTAAATTGCTTCATGCATGTATGTCAGGAAGTTACCGCCAGCAGAAACTTTGCAGGATATGTACACACCGCCATCTGCACAAGTGTAACTTTGTCACGTGTAATAATCTACTTGCAGATTACCCCCAGTGTCCAATAGGGAAGTGATGTCTCTGTAGAAATTTTGTTTGCCATGATGCAGCCTAAGAGACCATTGTGTATTAACTATACAGCTGTTTTCCTGATTATTATTATTTTTAAAAGCCTGTGGGGAAATTAGAGACAAACCAGGTGTTCAGAAATATCCAGAGGTTCAGTCGGCTCAGAGCATTACCCCAATCCGAAGTCAAATGTGGGATTATGTATTAGAAAGCGCTCACATTTTAAGCCTTTGTGTGTACAAAATCCGAAGAATCTATACATTTCTGCATTCTAGAATCTAGTATTTTGGGACAGGGACAGGATTTTAGAAGCTAGAAATACAGGACGGGATTCTGCCAACTTTTCTGCTGACCAAAGAGAAAGGAAGGGCACCATTTGACCAGTGGAAAGGTTATGCTAGGAACTGCGGAACCTATGCGGGGGAAAAGCCATGGGGGAGTAGGGCTGCCAAGTCCCCCCGGGGGGCAGGGAAACCCCCGCCCCAGAGGCCCATTCCCCGCCGGCGGCAGATCAGGCCCCGGGGGAACCCCGCCCCCATGTGCCGGTATCTGCAGGAAGTGACGTCAGGAAGTGACGTTAGGACGTTAGGACGCCGAGCACGCTGAGCCGAGCACGCCGAGCACGCTGGGGGCAGGGCCACGACCATCGGAGGGAAATCTCTATGGTTTTTCCTCCGAGGGTCGTGGCCCCGCCCCCAGCGTGCCCGGCGTCCTAATGTCACTTTCGGGTGACGTGCGCGCAGCGTGCGCTCCAGTCGCCGCCCGGGAGTCCCTCGCTGCGGCGACTGCAACGACTTGGCAACCCTATGGGTGAGGGTGCAGAGAAGAGAGAAATCAAGCAAAATGCAGTAGGAAAGCTAGCAGAATTCTGCGCACGGAATCTAATAACCTGCCAAATCCATGTGGATTCTTTTCATTCTGAAGCAACATTCCCCAGAGGTATCCTTCCTGAATTGGGTTGGGGCAGGAATAGAGATGAAGACTGGGATTTGGCTCTGAAGTGTCAAGGCCCTTTCTGTCACATGAGCGTCAAATCTGGCCTGCTTCCCACTGCTCATTTCCTTTGGAAAGAGGAAGCTTTGCACTTGACCAGAGGCTGACGGCACCGTTATCTAGCTGGCAGTTTGTTTGGATAGCTATCAAGCCTCAAGGGCACTCCACAACTCATTAGCTACAAGCGGCCAAGAGCCTTTGCATAAAGCCCCTGCCGAAGGTCACGTCACAATGGGAAGGGGGAGGGACTAGGTAGCAAACAGCTCATGATAACGACCGATAGTCATTTGGTTTTGTCTTAAATGATCTCATTTTTCTCCGTCTCTGTAGGACTCCAAGCAGCACTCGATGTTCCCTCTGGCGTGATGGATGCTTGTTCTAAGGAGCATAAGGGAGTTCATTCTTGTACAGCCAAGACTAACTAGGAGCTTCTGCTGGAAATCCTTTACACAGTTGTGGGGCTGGGATGACATGACAGAGCCAGCGCCTCTCTGAAAGCCTTCTGGCTTCTTGCTAGCTTCTGATTCTGTTCCTTTGGCTAGACTTGAAATTAGTTTTCCAGCAGGGGATTCTCACTCAAATGCTCATAGCTCAAACCTACCTATAAAAATTCAAGTTTATTTTCTAAAGTGCGCTCTTTTTTTGTCAACGTGAAGGATACCACTGGATCTGAGGACTGGGCGGAGGGGCGGGTAGAAATAATTGAATTTCCTAGCAAGCCAGTCCTTAACATTTTTTTAAATTCATCGGGGAGACACAAAAGGTCTGTCTTTGGAAAATGCGCTGCATAAAAGGCGACTCTTTAAAGCAAAACTTTGAAAGGCTCAAAGGGGTGTACGTAAGTCTAATTTTGAAATTTGCCTTCTTACGGCACTGTTTGGGGGGATTCATACTTGATAGCATGGGAGGAACTGGCCAAAGAACTGCCTCGCGAAAGACCTGGGGCTAGTGTCAGTTCTGGATCAAGGAAAAGAGGATGACTCGAGCCATAAGCCCATTTTTTTGTCCTTGGCTGTATTATAAGGAATCCATCCACTGGTTTAATGACTCACTGGGTGCGTTCAGACGGGGCATTTCAGCCGGCATAAACTGTACCGGTTGGAACCGGTGCAGTTTATGGCGGCTGAAACGCGATCACACTTACCTCCTGTCTGCGGACCCTATCGCTGTATACCTGTTCACACACAGTGGGCGTTGGCGGTTTGTTTGTTTATTTTTTAACTCAGTTTGCGCATGCGCATAGGCAGCCATCCACAGAATGGCGATCTTCATGCATGCGCAAAACACCCCGTCTTACATTTAACGTTTAAAGGTAAGGACTTACCTTTAAAGTTTAAAGAGCAAAGTGGCCTCCCTGAGGTCCCAGACTCCTCTAAAAGTTAAACTAAGGACCTTTTCTTTCTTTTTTTAAACAAACGCCGGGGCGAAGCTTCGCCCAAGCACATATCGCCAACGTAAAAAAAAAATGGCGGGCAAAAATTGGAAGCCTCGGGCTTCCGAATGGAAGTGGCTTTACAACGTTGGAGAGCGATCAGATGGGGGGGTAAAGCGATTACAACCATTGCACTCAGGATACCACCACTTGGGGACCTAGTGGCAGAATACAATGTTTTAAAGCTCTTTGCAACGGTTAGGGACGGAAGGCAGATGTTCGTCGTGTGAACGCCGGTAAGTACACCAATTCCAACTGGCACCTATACCATTGCAAATGCCCCGTCTGAACGCACCCACTGTTTCACATACAATATAATATGCTAGCATCCAGGGCTTTTTTTTAAAAAAAAAAAACAGGTGCCGGAACCAGGCCCGTCGCTACAGTGGGGCATCTTGGGGCTAGGCCCCCTGACTTACTGGCAAGGCCCCCCCGACTTCCCATCCAGCCCTGGGCCCCCAAATGGTGGCAGGTGCAGGGAAGGAGCTGGGTATTCCTTTAATTTAATTAACCAGTGCCCCCTAAGAAATTTAAATGCCCCTTGACTTAAATCCTGGCTACGGGCCTCGCCAGAACTCTCAAGAGAGAAATGAAGTTTTCCATCTGTATACTGAAAACTCACAGACTTGTCAACGTTTTTAAAAGAATTTTGTCAAAAGAGGTTCCGGAACTCTGTTCCCGGCGCGTTCCCCCAGGAAGAAAAGCCCTGCTAGCCTCCGTTTCCATCCCAAATGAGATGGCAGCCACCTTGCTTTACTCTCCTGTACTTCACTGCTGAAAATAGTGGTACACTCCTGTATAGTCCTGGTCATGCACTGATGGGTGGAACGCAGCCAGCTTTCCTGCTAGTAAAAAAAGTAGAGAAGGATCCCCTTTGACTCCCCAAAAGGCTATGCTGGGGAAATCACAGACAGGACCTGCATGTACAACAACTGAAGCTGTAGTAAGAAGGGGAACTGAGTGAAGAAGCGGGCCTGATCCAACCGTTTGTTCCTCCCCCGCGTAGACACCCACACTCAGCAATGTGATCTCCAATCACCAATTCTGGACTTGCATCTGACGAGGTCTTAGTAAGCTGACCATAACGGTTTCCCTTCCCCCCCCCTCAAATAGACTGCATAACAGAGTGTTTAGATAGGATTGAATCCAGAGCTAGTTATACTTACTTTAGGACGGCTAGCATAACTCAAACACATTTTGTAACATTTACCATGTAGATGTATCCTGTAGTTGGGGAAGGGAAAGCAGAAAAGAAAGTGGTGCACCCCCACTACGCATGTGCCCATTAGCAACTTTTTTCAAAATGAATCCCCCCCCCCCAATTCTCCGCAGAGGTCAAATAAGGACAGTGATTTACTAGGGTCAGGAAGAAGGAAACAGTGGGGAGCAATTGCGCGGGTGAATTAATTTCCTGTCCTTCCTTTTGAGATTCCCTTTCCTTGCATCACTTCCTGTTTGTCACAGATTGTCCTTCACCCTCTTGGGTTACATGAGATTTTTACAAAATCTAGTCCTTTTCAGACATGAGCCAGGGCTCTTTTTGTAGAAAAAGCCCAGCAGGAACTCATTAGCATAATAGGCCACACCCAACAGCAGAAACACATTAGCATATTAGGCCACACCCTGACAGCACAGCTCATTAGCACATTAGGCCGCACCCCTATGTTACCAGAAGTGTGGTCATCCAGCCACACTTTTTGTTTGTTTGTTTGTTTTTTGCTTGTTATTCTGTTTACCTTGTTTGTTGTCGAAACGGCCAGGGCTTTTTTTGTAGCTGGAACTCCTTTGCATGTTAGGCCACACACCCCTAATGTAGCCAATCCTAATGAGTTTCTGATGTTGGGTGTGGCCTATTATGCTAATGAGTTCCTGCTGGGCGTGGCCGACTCGGGAGCCAGCCGGAACTCCGTTCCTGTGCGTTCCTGCCCAAAAATAGCCCTGGACATGACAATTACACATACTGCGAGCCTTCCAACTGCACATGAGTGTGTGCTGTCTTCAGTCTTCCTGATATGCATGGTTCCCATGTTGTCTGAAAAGGGCAATGGGTAGATTTTGCACATGTGTATAGCTTCCGTATGGGTGGCTCAGAGGTTAAGACGCTGAGCTGCAGACTGGAAGGTCAGTAGCTTGGCAGATTGAGACCCGAGTGCCTCATGACTGAGTGAGCTCCCGTCTCTGGACCCAGCTCATGCCAACCTAGCAGTTTGAAAGCAAGAAACTGCAAGTAGATTAATAGGTACCGCTCCGGCAGGAAGGTAAAAGTGTTCCGTGCACCTCAGTGTTTAGTCATGCCGTCCACATGACCATGGAAATGTCTTCGGACAGCGTTGGCTCTTCGGCTTGGAAACGGAGATGAGCGCCACCCCCTAGAGTCGGATTCAACTAGATTTCGAGCAAGGGAAACCTTTACCTTTATAGCTTCCGTACGTGATGTACGAAAGGATTCTGGTTCACTGTAACCAAGACGAAAATCCACATGTTGCTCCTTTCAGACAGCACGATAACTGTGTGTTCTCAGGAGGATCTGAGCATAGTTAACGGCCTCCCAGTATGTGCAGGCTGTGACATGGTACAGCCCCGCTGCAATGCAGCAAGATACACTAAAAATACAGATTTCGAGCCAGGAATTTCTCCAGCCAGGAAGAGTAAACGGCAGGGCTTTTTTTCTAGAAAAAGCCCAGCAGGAACTCATTAGCATAATAGACCACACCCAACAGCCAAAACCCATTAGCATATTAGGCCACACCCATGACAATACAGCTCATTAGCCTATTAGGCCACACACCCGTGTTACCAGAAGTGTGGTCATCCAGCCATACCCACCTTTTGCTTCTTATTCTGTTGACCTTGTTTGTGGTCAAAACCCAGGGCCTTTTTGTAGCAGGAACTCCTTTGCATGTTAGGCCACACACCCCAAATGTAGCCAATCCTAACGAGTTCCTGCTGTTGGGTGTGGCCTATTATGCTAATGAGTTCCTGCTGGGTGTGGCCAACTCGGGAGCCAGCCGGAACTCAGTTCCTGCCCAAAAATAGCCCTGGTAAATGGTATGAATAGGGGGAATGCACTTGCCTCCAAGAGGTGCCCCGAAGCAACATCCAACGCCAACTGCGCAAGCCGCTGCCAGGAGGTCGAGCTGCCTGTGCACATTCTGGAACAGAGAGCCCAGCCAGAGAGAGGCATGCCAGGGTTAGAGGCAGTACAGCCATGTGGTTAGTCCCCCCCCCTCCTCCAAAACCAAGCCAGGGCAACAGCGGAGTCAGCCTTCTCATATAGCACATGGAGCCTGTCTTTAGTACAGAGAAGAGGTCTGGTATGGAGAGGCGGCCGTGGCACACGGCTATCGTTCCATTTCGGTGAGCCACCAAACCCGACACCTCTGTGCCAGTCTCCATACTTGGTTACCCACTATTGGAAGGAAATTGCACAGCCAGTCTCTCCATAACTCCAGCACCCATCTCCCTCGCATTACAGCCAGCATCGCTTGTGTGCAATTAGCCTCTAGAGACACAGCCAGCCTCGAGACACAGCTGCTTACAACCACCACATTTTCACAGCACATAACGTTTGTATTGTGGTCTAGGGGTCTGAGGGCTAGCCTACGATCTGGGGGACCAGGTTCGAATCCCCACTCTGCCAAGGAAGCTTGGGCCGGACGCACACTTCTCAGCCCAACCTACATCAAAAAGTTGTCGTAAGGATAAAATGGAGGAGGGGTGAGCAATGCTGTAAGCTGCTGTGTGTCCCCGGGGAGCGGGTTGTAAATATCTGAATACACGAATAAGCACTGTCTGTTCTCCTGACACTTGCCATCGATGCATTAGCCTTCGTGAAACCGTTAATAATTACGAATCACTTCGAAACCAGTCATTATATATGGGTAGTGCATACAACAAGGACTCGGTTTATTTTGTGCCCAAATGGAGAAAAAAATCAGGACACAGAAAAGAAGAAGAGACTGGATTTATCCCCCGCCCTTCACTACCCAAGGGAGTCTCAGAGTGGCTTACAAACTCCTTTCCCTTCCCCTCCTCAAAACAGACACCCTGTGAGGTAGGTGGGGCTGAGAGAGCTCTTTTTCAAGAACAGCTCTTATCAGAACTACAGCTTGCCCAAGGTCATCCAGCCAGGTGCAAGTGGAGGAGTGGGGAATCAAACCCGGTTCTCCCAGGTTAGAGTCCGCGCACTTAACCACTACACCAAACTGGCTCTCACTACACCCTTGCAAACAGAATCAGGCAGACGTTGGCGGTTTTGTATAGGCACCTGCCCGTTGGAACTCTCTGCCTAGTGACATCCATGCCCTGTGAGACTTGGTCCAGTTCTGCAGGGCCTGTAAGACAGAGATGTTCCACCGGGCGTATGGTGGAGGATGGCAACGGCTTGTCATCAAGCCTGGCCTCCCTTACTCCCTCCATTCCCCTCTAGGAGAAGGGTATAAATTGGTAGTCAAGGCCATCGGAACAAATATTGTCCTTGTTCTAACTGTTCATTGTTTATTGTTCATTGTTTTAATTGTGCGTCACTGATTCTTGTGTACTGCCACAAGCCCTCTGTGAGGAGGGCAATCTAGATGATGATGATGATGCATTAAGGTGATTTTTGACAAGAATTTGGAACTCTGTTTTCACACGCGATGGGATGGCAGAAGGGGGTGGAATGAGGTGTAGACATAACAAGGTTAGATGTTTAGTAGGGGGAATGCAGCCATGGGAGGGGGCTAGGAAGCTGTGCATTTTTTAAAAAAAATTAGTTCTCATTGACAACTGTGCAGAAGATTAAAGACCCACCCATGGCTGCCGGAAGCCCTGCCAAAACCACTTTCCATTTTGAATTCTTTTGGGGGGTGGGGTCATGGCAACGTCTGGCGACCCCTAGTGGGGCTGGGACATTTCAGAGAGGCGGCTTGACTGTCTGTCTTGCATCCTGAGCCCTGGTATTCCTTGGAGGTCTCCCTTTCAATTACTTGCCGGGGTCGGCCCTGCTTAGCTTCTGAGATCTGAAGAGATCAGGCTTGCCTGGGCTATCCAGGTCAGGGCGATTTCTGATTCTTTTAGGGCTGCCAAGTGGGGGTGGGGGGCCGGTAAACCCCCGCTTTGGAGGCCCAATTTCCATCGCCGCGGAATTGGGCCGCGGGGGGAAACCCCACCCCACCCTGAAGCGCAGTGTGGCTGCGTCACAGGAAGTGACGCAACCACGTAGATCACGTTGGGGGCGTGGCCCCAATTGTCGGAGGGAAAACTCTATGGTTGTCCCTCCAACGATCGGGGCCACGCCTTCAACGTGATCGACGTCGCGCGTCACTTCTGGTGACGTGCTGGCAGCGCGCGCACGCGGCGAAGCTCGCACGCGCGTCCCTCGGTAGCTCCCGGACCCCGGTGACGCTCCCCCGCCAGTGAGTCCAATCGACTTGGCAACCCTAGATTCTTTACAAGAAATTGATAGGAACAATTTTTCTACAACCAGGAGGTCTAGAACCCTGCCTTTTATTTAAACAGAAGACAAGCTTCTCAGGGTGCCAAGCTTTGGGCCACAATAAAGGACACATGTGACATGACTGAGGGCATGGGTGCCCGACCAAACTTGTAGTCACACGTGTGATTGAAGGAATTCAACTTCAAAGTGTTCCATTGCTCTGTTGGGGTCAGGAGGGTTGCGAGGGAGGGGGAGCCTTCAGGCTTGGTTCCTTCCAAGTTGAAAGATTTTAAAGCTGACGTAGATCGAGGACCTTAGAACTCTGTCAACATTGGAACACATGGCATATAGACAGCAATCGCATAGGGACCTATTTTTAGATATTTGGAAATCATTTATAGAAACTTACGTGTAGATTTGCCACCACTGTTGTCATAATGTTCTCTCGTATTTATGCACTGTTTCGTTTTCTTTTATTTTTACTTAATTGCTGGATTTTAAGTCCTCCCCCCCCCTTGTTCTTTGTTTTTGTTTTCTTTTCGAAAGAAAGAAATGTTAAAAAATCAAAAAGGCTTTCCTCCCATGCCCTTTTCACCAGCAGAAACAGCCATACAGGAAATCTTTGCCCCTTCCTTGGGCTCGCCTTTCTTGAGCTCCATTGGTGAAGCTCCTCCTCCCTCTGGCAATGCTCCAGAGCCACACAGAGCAACAGAACCCTTTGAACGTGAGTTCATAAGAACATACATAAGAACAGAAGTTGGAAGAACAATGTTGGATCAGGCCAAAGGCCCATCCAGTCCAACACTCTGTCACACAGTGGCCAGAAATACCAGGTGCCATCAGGAGGTCCACCAGTGGGGCCAGGACATTAGAAGCCCTCCCACTGTTGACCCCCCCCAAGCACCAAGAAGACAGAGCATCACTTGCCCCAGAGTCCCTATCTATACCTCGTGGCTAATAGCCACTGATGGACCTCTGCTCCATATGCTTATCTAATTCCCTTTTGAAGCCGTCCATGCTTGTAGCATGGTTCCTCCCATCATACGTGAGAGTACAGGTCACATTAAGCATCCGTAACCTGACTCATGTCACATGTATCACTTGTTTTGTCCCTATCGTACCTGCTAAGTACCTGCTAAGGTCTTGGTTAGTACTTGGGAGACCTCCAAGGAAGTCGAGGGTCGCTACGCAGAGGCAGGCAATGGCAAACCACCTCTGAACATCTCTTGCCTTGAAAACTCTATGGGGCGGCCATAAGTCAACTGCAACTTGACAGCCATTTCCACTATCCCCACCCAATGTTTTAGGTTTGACAGCCTGGAGAGAGAGAAAGAACAACAACTAAAACTGTTAAGCCTAAATCTGACTGCAATAAGGGGTGGAGAAGCTTTAGCATTGTTATGAGTCCAAAGCTTCCTGCTACACAATCCCTCCAGGACTGCAATTTTGCATGAGCCAGCCACCTCTTTTACTCCACCAGATAGCCAGCATAACCATCCACCGTTATTACCACACCATCTCCTTTATAACTGATGGATTTATCGTCGTTGGGCTGATTCTGCTTCCATCGTCAGGACGCTAGGCCCGTGAGGCACTCTTGCAGCCTGACACTGTCCACAATCTCTCCCCCTCCAAAGCAGATGGAGCATGCAGAACACTTACCTCATATACACCGCAAAAGATGGACATGAACTTGCTAAGCACGGCGGCACATATGCTAGCAATGTGCACAAAGGGGCCCTGACGAAAAGAAGAACAGAAGGGAAGCAGAATGAGGGGCGCCCCAACTTTGGCCAGAAACGAAGACAGACTCATCCTGTCAACCCCGGCTTCTCCGCTTGTCTGTCTCCCTTTCCCCCTTCGTCACCATGAAAGTATCCCAAGGCACCTTTTCCTAGATTGCCTCTTTGTCTCCCGTCTGCTTTTGTTTCTTCTGGGCCCTCCTGCTTTCAGGGGCAAAAAGAAATCCTCGTGCCTGCCCTGCCCATCTGTTCTGAGCTACTCACTGTCAAGCTGCTTCCACACAACGAGGCATCTCCGCGTTGGTTTTGTCCCTAATGTATCTATATAGGCATCCGCACTGGCAACAGAGCTTCCACATGGGGGGTTTCTGCGCACTTCCCTCTGTCAGTTAATAAGGACCACCATTTACCCTGCATTTTCCTTTGTCATGCCAAAGAGGGCTTTCAGAGGGCTTTTTCTTTTATTTTTTAATCAATAATTGCTATAACACTATAGCATTTTACCATGGCAAGTGGGGACCCGCAAGGACTTGCGGGAGGGGGATTTCATTTTCCCCTATATCCCCCTCCCCCAAATTTTGTTTCCCTTCCCTGGCAGCCCCCATATCCTCTCCCCTTTTCCTCCTTTTTTCTCTCCTTCCCACCCACCAGTCACTATCTTACTCTACCCCCCATGCATCTTTCTCTCCTACCCTCCCCATGGCAGCCTCTCTCTGGAATAATTCTGGCTGAGCTGTGCAGTGGATGGTGCTGGGCCAAGCTCAGTTGCATGGTGGCTGGCACCAAGCCCAACTGCATGGTGGCTACTGAAGAAGAAGAAGAGTTGGTTTTATACCCTGCCGTTCACAACCCAAAGGAGTCTCAGAGCAGCTTACAGTCGCCTTCCCTTCTTCTCCCCACAACAGGCACCTTGTGAGGTAGGTGGGGCTGAGAGAGCTTGAGAGAGCTGTGACTGACCCAAGGTCACCCAGCTGGCTCCATGTGGAGGAGTGGGGAAATCAACCCCGGTTCTCCAGGTTACAGTCCGCAGCTCTCAACAACTACACCAAGCTGCTAGGCCTAATGGTGTGGGCAGTGAGTCTCTGATGGTTGCTGTGGGCCTGTTCTCTGTAAGTTTTCCTCCATCAGGGACTACAACAGGGGAGGGGGATGGGACCCTTTCCAGTGTTGTTTTGGTCTCCAAGTCTACTCCTGCTCCTCCCTCATAGCTTTGCTTTACAGAAACCAAGGCTTGGAATGCTCACCAATATTGTTGTGGTTGCCTAGCAGCCTACCAAATGGCCGCTGACAGCTCAGTGGGCAGTCTTTTCTCAAAACTACAGATGTTGTGTCTATTAATTTTAATTGCCTGATTATTTATTTGTTTCTTAGATTTCAGATTTTTCTGCAAACCTGGGACTTCCTCCACGTTTGTAAAGAAATCCACCCAACCTGTCCATTTTGCTGATCTCTTAGTCTACATACTGTGGCCTGGTTTGGAATTAAACATCGGATAGCAATTATGGGGGGGGGGGGATTAAGTCCTCAAAAAACCCTCTGGTGGCACAGTGGGGGAAACAGCAGCCATGAGGGGCTGAAAGAAGGAAAATGGCCAAAAACCGAGCAGGCCCTTTGAAAATGTCTGCTTTCCCTTCCAGACAGAGTGGTGATGCCCTTGGACTGCACTTTCCTATTCTCTAAACGATCAAATCAAAGCAGGTTTAGGAAAGAGGATATTGAGGGTGGGGAAAGGACTGGGCTTAGAGCACAACACTGTGCAGATGCTTTAAAATACAGTTTTATTCCAGGTTGGAAGCGAAAGCAGAGGGAAAAAACACTGTGTGGAAGCACCTTCAGACTTTTTTTGCAACAATGATCTTTAAATCTGCTTCCCCAGTATTAATTAGGGATGCCAGCCTCCAGGTGGTGGCTGGGAAATCTCCCGCTGTTACAACTGATCTCCAGGACACAGAAATGAGTCCCCCTGGAAAACATGGCCGCTTGGAAGGTGGACTCAACAGAATTATAGCCCACTGAAGTGCCTCCCCTAGGGTTGCCAAGTGGCACTTACCTTGCCGGCGGGGGACTCCTGTGTGGATCCCGGTGCGCCGGGAACGCTAGGGGCGGGGCCACGACCATAAAAGGGAAAACCATTGAGTTTTCCCTTGTATGGCCGTGGCCCCGCCCCCAGCGTGCCCAGCATCATAATGTCACTTCCCTGTGACGTGCACGCTGGGGCGGGGTTCCCCCCGGGGCCCGATTCTCCGGCGTCGGGGAACGGGCCTCTGGGGCGGGGGGTTTCCGCCCCCCGGGGGACTTGGCAGCCCTAGCCTCCCCTCCCCAAGCCTCTCCCTACTCAGGCTCCACCCCCAAAATCTCCAGGCGTTTCCCAACCCAGAGTTGGCAACCCCGGTACTAATTGTGGTCTCTGCCTTCTCTCACCCCCTCTCCCCTCACCCCGTGCACTTGCGCTCACCTCTTTCCCAACAGGTATCCCGCTTCCCAGACCAGCTGTCAAAGCTACTACTTTGGCTACAAAAGCTTTCGGTGTGAGGTATTCCTTGAGGACGACTCCCCGCATAATAGTTTTGAGCTCAGGGATGCCAGAGCCTGGACAAAGGAGAAGAAAATAGCACTGAAGGACGGTGCTGTGAAAACAGAGCACAACTGACACAGAGAGACTAAGGCCTCAGAAACATCTCCATAGGCCTATAAAATGCAATTGACAAGATGGTGCAGCCTCAGTTTGCCTTGGGGGCCATGCAGAGAGGGTTCGACCATTCAACCCCTGCTTGGTTTCGCTATTCAAAACTGGGCCCCCTGCTGTGCTACTAATATTTTAAAGAAAAAAAGACGTGTCCCATATGAACCAAGCTTTCTCTCCTTTAAACCAACTGGAGGCTGCAGAGAGGGTTCGGCCGTTCAACCTCTGCTTGGTTTCGCTATTCCCATATCAACCATGTTTTCTCTCCTGGAGGTCCTTTCCGCATTTGCCTGCCACTGGATATTTTCAGTGTTCGAGTTGAGGCAATTTAAGGCCACGGCAAAACAGCCTCCAACTAACCCGGAGCAACAGCAGGCTGAAACCGGGCTGACCACTGGAGGTAATGCAGAAGTGGGGGGGAGACCTGGAGTAAAAGGAAGGTTGAACTTCTTTTTTAGTGCAGAATGAGGGGGGAAACCTGGATTAAAAAGAAGGTTGAACTCGATTTTAGTGCAGAATTGTTTGGAGGACACCGCGGTAAACATGGATTAAAAGGAGAGTGCAGAAAGGGCCCGAGTGGAGGCTGAAAGATCACACCGCCTCTCCCTTTCCCTTACAACCCCGAGGCAACCTGAGGCTGCAGGAGCCTGCCCTTTGCATTTGATGGACAGAGAAGGAGGCATGATCTTCATCTGTCTGAGCCATGACAAACAAAGTCAAACAAAACGCGATGGTGCCAAGAACATGCACATTTGGACGCTCATCCACCCCACTATTCGTGGCTAAGTCTCCCTGCTAAATCTCCCTCCAGCCAGGTTCAAATGCCAACAATGAGTCCAGCTATTGAAAGTGAAGTCAGGTGCAGGTAGAGATCTGCTCTCCTCATCCGCATAACCCCCCTCAAGCCCCCGCCCCAGAAGTGGCAAAGGGACCCCTGGCTTTCAACATCTGGTCCTGCCACCGTCAATGGTTGCTTGTGTTTGACAGGCAGGCCGATCTCCACAGGCGTTGCTCTCTCACCCACAGCTTGCGGAGAGACAAGCTGGCAGAAGACGGCAGCAAAGAGGATAAGGATGAGGGGGTAGGTCACCCAGGCCAGGAACTGCATCGGGATGCTCGGGTGCAGCTCTTTGTACATCCACTTGTACGCTGTGGACAAAAAAGAGAAAAAGAAAGAAAAATGTTATGAGAGGGAGCACCCACTGCAAGCAATGCAAAGAGAGGATCAAGGTGGGAAGCAGTCCTTGAGACAAACACAAACAGGGTCACCAGATTCTAATAGGGACAGCAGAGTTTGTAGATGGGACTTGTGGAGGGGCTGCTTATCTCTCCCCCTTCCAAAAAAGTTAGATTCCAGTGGCATCTTTAAGACCAACACAGTTTTATTCAAGGTGTAAGTTTTCACATGCACACGCACTTCATCAAACGATGAAACGGACTTACAGATCATACTTGTGTACAGAGGTCATTTCGGGGGGGGACGCGGGGGAACACAGTTTCCCCGGGTGAAGTACGGGAGGGCGGGGCACATGACGAAGCCCCGCCCCCTGCTTCCGGCCGCCCCGCTTCCGGCCCTCATTCAGCCAGGAGGAGGCAGGAGAAGAGGGAGGGTAAGTTGCTTCCTCCCTGCCTCTCCCCATCCCTGCCTGCCTGGGGCCAGGGAGGGCCTTCACGGGGCTTCCTTGCACTCCCGCTGGCCTTGCAGGGCTTGGCAGGGGAGCTGCAAGGCCGGCACCGGCGGCCGGGACCGTTGGGGGCGGGGTGTGTGGCCTTATGACACATTTCCGGTGATGTCAGGAGGTGTGGCCTTATGACACACTTCCGGTGATGTCAGGGGGTGTGGAATATGCTAATGAGTTATGCTAATGAGTTCCCCTAGCTCTTTTTCTACAAAATGACCCCTGCTTGTGTATATATACAGGGTGGCCTGTTAAACTGGCATGCAAAGTAGTGAAGATGTTTTTTTTAACAGATAAAAAGAATGACAAGCTTGGTTTCTGGTTATCATCTGTTCTGGGTTCAGCTGGGGCAGGGGAGGAACAACATAGGCAATTTCCCTTCCAGCTCATCATCGGCTCAGAATTGGTTTCCACCTCTAACGGCCTTCTCACCAACAGAAGAAAATATATGGAGTCTCTTTTGCTTCACACCTGCAAAGCATTCTGGGGAAAGTGACACTGAGAGGGCAAAGGAGCGGAGGGGCAAGAGCTAAGTGTCCTCTCCTTGCTCCACTAATGAACAGCCTGGCCACATCTCTTTTCAGTCTGTTTTAAGGTTATAGAGCCTCTCTTGTCCCATCCATCTCACTTTTAATATTGGCTCTTCGCTTAATTTAAATGTCTTTGCATTTGGGATATCTAGGCGAGACCATATCCAGCAAGTGCTGCACTGGCTGCTGATAGCATACCGGATTTGCTTCAAAGTGCTGGTTCTTACCTTTAAAGCCCTAAATGGCCGGGGTCCGGCTTACCTGAAGGACCGCCTCTTCCTGTATGTTCCTCCAAGAGCACTACAATCAGGGAGCCTCCATCTCCTGGAAGTTCCAGGCCCCCGAGAGGTTAAGTTTGCCCCTACTAGGGCCAGGGGGGTTTCGGTGGCGGCTCCTACCTGGTGGAACAAGCTCCCAGAGGAGATCCGGGCCCTGCGGGACCTTGTGCAGTTCCGCAGGGCCTATAAGACGGAGCTCTTCCGCCAGGCCTTCGGGTAGGAGCCGCCGCCCCCACTATCCCACCATCGTGGTAGTGCTTCATCGTCTGCCCCTATCATGGGGTGCAAGCTTCGCCTGGCAGAAGCGTATAGAACAGCGCTGTGGGAGACCACGCTATTGAGACAGCTGGCCGCCGAATTGGGTTTATTGCTTCCCATCTTGGATGACTTACATAGGAAGATCAGAGCACCTTGATTATTGTATGGATTTTATTGTGGTTTTAAATGTTGTCTGTTTTATTGTATTTTATCTATTCAACTCGGCTTTGCCGCATGTTAGCCGCCCTAAGCCACTGGGAGGGCGGGATACAAATCTAAAAATTAAAAATAAATAAATAAATACAGCAGGGTATTTATTTATTTGCTTGCTACATTTATACCCTGCCTTTCCCCCCAAAGTGGCTTATGTGGCTCTCCTTTCTTCTATTTCATCCTCACAACAGCCCTGTGAGGTAGGTTAGGCTGACTATGACTGGCACAAGGTCGCCCACCAAGCTTCCACAGCAGAGTTAAGGATTCAAACCTGGGTCTCCCCAGATTTTAGTCAGATCCTCGACACACTGCACCACAAGACACAGATATTGTTTCTCTTTTTGCTTGTTGTTTTCTTGAGACAACAAGCCCGCTTACCTTGCAAGCTCTTGGCGCTGGCATAATCCACCCCCCAGCTCACCAAAGCCATGACGAGGCCCAAGAGAACCAGGAATATCCAGTCTTCTCCCAGCTTCTTGGTAACATACTTCTGGATGCGTTTAGCACAGGCTGTGGAAGAGAAAGGCGAAGCGACAGAGGGAGCTGGATTCAACTTGTCTGGAGATGATCCAGCTAGGGTTGCCAAGTCAATTTTTCTTACCGGCGGGGGAGCCTCGCCGGTCTCCGGGAGCTGTCCGTCGATGTGCGCGCTCGCGAAGCGCGCACGCGCCGCCAGCACGTCACTGGAAGTGACGCGCGATGTCGATCACGTTGAAGGCGTGGCCCCGATCGTCGGAGGGAAAACCATAGAGTTTCCCCTCCGACGATCGGGGCCACGCCCCCAACGTGATTGATGTGGTTGCGCCACCTCTGGTGACACAGCCACGCTGCGCTTCGGGAGGCGGAGTTCCCCCCGGGGCCCGATTCCGCCGAGGTGGGAATCGGGCCTCCGAAGTGGGGGTTTACCCGCCACCCGCCCCCACTTGGCAGCCCTAGATCCAGCCCAAGTGAAATGCTTTTAAAGTCTTGTCCGTTTCCCAGAGAAAGTTCAGTCTTTGCCGCTGAAAGAATTGGACTGAAACGAGTTTGGTGTTGAGCTTAAAGAGGCAAGATGCTGAGAGTTTCGTTAATGTAGCATCCACCATTCCCCACCCCACCCCCGGGTAGCCCAGGCTGGCCTGATCTTGCCAGGTCTTGGAAGCTAAGCAGGTGTTATTTGGATGGGAGACCTCCAGGAATACCAGGGGCATCATGCAGAGGCAGGCATTGGCTAAACCAACTCGAAAGCCTCGAAAACACTATGAGGTCACCATAAGTCAGCTGTGACTAGGCAGCAAAAAACCCCACAACAAATACATGCAGGGTTGCCAGGTCCCACTTTTCTGCCGGTGGGGAGATGGATGGGTCTTTCCTGGAGCGTTTGTGGTGCGCGCTTCATGCATGTGGCGTGATGATGTCACCCAGAAGCAATATCATCACACCACTGACATCGCAGGGCGATGGTCTAGTTTTTGGGCAAAACTCTATGGTTTGAGCCTGGTTTTTATTTATTTATTGTTTCAACTTTTACCCCGCCCTCTCCGCCGAAGCAGGCTCAGGACGGCTTACATAAAAACCAATAAAACAAGATGCATATCACAATAAAAATACATGAAACATAACATAAGACCGTTACTATATCAATGGCGGTACAGTATAATAAAGGGCATTCTTGAACACGATCAGCGGTGGATACCATTCTAGGTAGCTTCTGGCTCTAAGTCGGCACAGGGCTTAGCTGACAAAGTGCAGCTCCTATTGAAATGCCTGCTGGAAAAGCTCCATTTTCATGGCCCTGCGGAACTGTGAGAGGTCCCGCAGGGCCCTGATTTCACCAGGGAGCTCATTCCAGCAGGTCGGAGCTGCCAATGAAAACGCCCTGGGACTCCTGGTCGATGTCAGCCTAATGTCCTTCGGACCAGGGAGGGCCAAGCGGTTTTGTGATCCTGATCTCAGTGCTCTCTGGGGAACATGCGGGGAGAGGCGGTCCTTCAGGTCCTACCATAGAGTTTTGATCAAGAACCACAGCATCACCGCCCAGTGTCGGCAGTGCAATGACATCACTTCTGGGTGATGTCCTTGTGTCATGTTTTGGGGCATTTGTGGGTGGGGCTTTTCCCTGCCGGCGGGGAGGAGCCCGCAAAAGTGGGGGGACCCCCACCTGGACCAGGGGGCTGGCAACCCTAGGTACATGGGGTCCTGATTGCATAGGAATCATGGAGCAAATGGAGGAGGGTTTAAGCCCTTCCCAAAGCTATTTTCCTTACCTTTCTGCCCCCCCGGGTGACACTATTTGCCTCGATGGGAAAATAGACATAGGCTGCGATCACACGCGCCTTTAGCTCTGACTTAGCTGCGAATGCCTGGTGGATGTAAAGGGCGCGATCAGACCGCAACATCTGGGAAGCGTCCCACAGTCGTCGGCAACCTGTGCTGTTCCGCCACAGAAGCAGAGTTAAAAGACACCGGGGAAAGTCCGGCTCTAACAGGTTCCAACAGGCCACGAATGGCCTTTCCCCTGTCTGATTGCACAAGCACACTCTCACGTCGTCGGGATGGTCTCATCAGCACATCATTGCATACTCCATAGGGAGCCCAAGTGCGATTCTTTGTTAAAGTGCATGGGAAACAAACGAACAAAAAAAACCCCCAAAACCCAACTCATCCACAGTTGCATCTGATCACACAGTGACAGGCTGAGCCCGCAGCTTTAAAGGCCTCTGTGATCTCGCAACTGTGTGTCAGATTCCTCCGGAGGAGATAGTCGAGACAGTGTGTGACTGCAATAAAGAAGGCCAATGCTATGCTGGGGATTATTAGGAAGGGTATTGAAAACAGATCAGCCAATATCATAATGCCCCTATATAAATCAATGGTGCGACCTCATTTGGAATACTGTGTGCAGTTCTGGTCACCACACCTTAAAAAGAATATTATAGCTTTGGGAAAAGTGCAGAAAAGGGCAACTCGAATGATAAAAGGGTTGGAACACTTTCCCTATGAGGAAAGGTTAAAGCGCTTAGGGCTCTTTAGCATGGAGAAACGACAACTGAGGGGTGACACGATTGAGGTTTATAAGATTATGCATGGGATAGAGCAGGTAGAGAAAGAGGTACTTTTCTCCCTTTCTCACAATACAAGAACTCGTGGGCACTCCATGAAATTGCTGAGCGGTCGGGTTAGAACGGATAAAAGGAAGGACTTCTTCACCCAAAGAGTGATTAGCACATGGAATTCACTGCCACAGGAAGTGGTGGCGGCTACAAGCACGGACGGCTTCAAAAGGGAATTAGATAAGCATATGGAGCAGAGGTCCATCAGTGGCTATTAGTCACATGGTATAGATAGGGGCTCTGGGGCAAGTGATGCTCTGTCTTCTTGGTGCTTGGGGGGGTCAACAGTGGGAGGGCTTATAATGTCCTGGCCCCACTGCTGGACCTCCTGATGGCACCTGGTATTTCTGGCCACTGTGTGATACAGAGTGTTGGACTGGATGGGCCTTTGGCCTGATCCAACATTGGCGTCTCTTATGTTCTTATGTTCTTATAGCCTCCGCTCCAACTGGCACGTGTGACCGCAGCCATACACTGACATGGGTACCTGTTTGTTTGCTTTGCCCTGACCCGGATGGCCCAGGCTAGCACTGGTTGAAGCTAAGCTGGGTTGGCCCTGGTTAGTACTTGGATGGGAGACCACCAATGAAGCCAAGGTTTGCTACATAGAGGCAGGAAATGGTAAAACGCCTCTGCTAATCTCTTGCCTTGAAAACCCTATGGGGTCGCCATAAGTCAGCTCTGACTTGATGGCACTTTTCACCAGGTTTACCTCCACAGAGGACAAATAGGGTGGCTCCCAGGAGCCATTAACAAAACAAGCAAACAACTCGCTGGTGGCAGCTCCATTCACAAAACTCCCAGATGTCCATCTGACTGGTTACTTCATCTTTTTCCTTCTCACACAGTTGAAGGCACATCTGGAATCAACAGACAGTCCAGTTCATAGCCTAGAGAAACTGAAGTACTTGGATTTCAGTCCGCCTTAAGTCCAAACTTTACTAATGGTCTTCCAATGTGTATTTTGGCTCCGGTAACCAGCTGTAGGGGTCTAATATGCATCAGAGCTATTACAGTAGGGAAGGGGGTTTAAGTCTCCTACTTCTTGGGCTTTTCCACACTGAGTTGTTGTTCCAGCTTGATTTCTTGCCTGCATCAGTGTTTTCCCCTCACTTACAGTATCTGTCCCACTAGAGCTCCGTGAATCTGGTGACCACAGGATGGGGGAAGTTAGCAACTCCCCATCATCTTCTTACTGCAAGGAACTTGGCAAGTGCGTTGAAGACTTTACCATAGACTGGGTAAAGTGAAACTAGTCACGTTAGACTGACTTTATTATTAGTTTATTTGAAAGTTTGTGTGCTGTGTTATTGTCTGCTTTCCTGATATTTTGTTTTGATCCCTTTTTTTCTACCCCTTTTGAATCCTACCAACCTTTTCCTTTCCCCTCCTCTTTTATAGTAAATTTTCTTTTTTATAAAGACTTTGGGGGGGGGTTGTTTAGTACAGTATATTTCTCTTGGCTATTTCTCTTAATCTCTTCCCTATATGCCAGACTGCATGGATACTTACATAGTTTTTCGCAAGGTATCCTCCAGGGCATACACTCTGTTACACTCTGTCTCTTTATCGATCTAATACTGCACCAGAAGGAAGCCTTCTTAGCAGGTCAGTCTGGATGTTCTCAGGAGGTCCCTGACTGTTACCAGGTTCTTGTCAAAGGGAGCTTCCCAACCAAGAAAGGTACCTTCCCCCTCTTCCTTCTGTCAGTTTTCTCCCATCCCCTCTCCAATTTTTCCCCATCTTTGTTCAGACCACCGTAAAAGTGGTCTGAAAAGACACAGGAAAAAACTGGGAGAACAATGACCAGCAAATGATACTGTGTGTAAAGGGGGGAAGGGGGACTGATGCAGTTAAAAAAGTCAAACTTGGACGTTTTCTCCAGGGACAGTTCCTCCCACGCCTGCACTTGTATTCCTCCACTGTTTCCTCTCATTTCTGCAGATGTTTTTGCAGTCTTAGGTGCAAAAACGCAGTTTGTCCCCTCTTGCTCCGCAGCATCAAGACTTCCCTGTTTCCGGGAATTCCCATGGTATGCCACAAGAAGGGGCAAACTGTGTTTTTGCTCCTGGGACTGCAAAAACATCTGTGGAAACGAGGGGAAGCAGCGGAGGAATACATGTGGAGGCACGGGGAGAGCCGTCCCTGCAGAAAACGTCTAGGTGCGGAAAAGCCCCTTGCACTGTTTTCCCGATTGAAACCATACCCCTCTGGCTCCTTTAGCCCAAGCAGGGGAAAAGACAGGCACAATAAAGGTATCTGTCTTTCCCCCCTGACTGGAACTAAAAGCAGCTAGAGGAGGGGCAGCTTTGATCCATGCCTCACTGGGACAGGGAAGTTTTCAGAAGACCAAGCTTTACCATCGCTTACCGTGGCACTTGGAGTAACGTTCCTCTTTGATTTCAGCCTGACTGCTCCGCTTCAGGGGGCTCTGGCCATTGCCTTGGGGTTTCTTCTCACTCAGGAGTTCGGCTGCTTCCTTCTCAGAAAGACTGGGCAGCTGGTCTGTGTACTGGCCATACAGCTGGAAAAAGACAAATTAGACCCATGCATCTGCCACATGTCAAACTACCTGTGAGATGACAGGGACAGAACAATAGAGGCAAACACAGCAACATGCACAGACCCGACAAGCTGCTCGCCAACGTTGGGGATCTGTAGTTCACATCTGCATCATAATGTCCAGCTGGGGCAAAAGTCCCACACGGGAAAGGTACTCACAGAAGGCTGGTAAGATAAATGTTTGCCTCAGTCACCATGGGATGTAGAGACTGTTCACCCATACAGGGCTATTTTTGGGCAGGAACGCACAGGAACGGAGTTCCGGCTGGCTCCCAAGTTGGCCACGCCCAGCAGGAACTCATTAGCATAATAGGCCACACCCAACAGCAGAAATTCATTAGGATTGGCCACTTTAGGGGTGTGTGGCCTAACATGCAAAGGAGTTCCGGTTCCAAAAAAAGCCCTGGGTTTTGACAACAAACAAGGAAAACAGAATAAGAAGCAAAAAGTGGGTGTGGCTGGATGACCACACTTCTGGTAACATGGGGGTGTGGCCTAATGGGCTAATGAGCTGTGCTGTCAGGGGTGTGGCCTAACAGGCTAATGCGTTTCTGGTGTTGGGTGTGGCCTATTATGCTAATGAGTTCCTGCTGGGCTTTTTTACAAAAAGAGCCCTGCAGCCATATATTTGGTTGCACTGTACAGGTAAAGGAAGGGCTAATCTGATGGCTGAAACAGATGACCCCAAAATCATGCATCGCATTCTGTCCATAAAATGTAATGCAATTCTATCCATAAGCCTCAATTTGTCTGAGGGCTGTGCAGGGAAAGGTGTTCAACTCTTTGACCTCCTCTTGGTTGGGCTAATTGAAATCAGGCTCCATGTTTTGTCATCATTAGCACATTAAGGGGAATGTGTGTGCATTTTTAAAGGACAAAGATTGTTTCTCCTGTCAATAACAAAACAGGAAGGTTGGTTCTGAATAGCAAAACTGAGTGGCGGTGGAAGGGTTTAAACCCCCTCTCCCTTCCTTGGCCCCAAGGCAAACTGAGGCCATACAAAATCCGTAATTTGCACTTTATAGATAAAATGTGCAATCTTCCGCTTGTCTGTTTCAGCTTTCAGTTCACTGAAAAGCAATGTATGTGAGTCAAAGTTCTGTGTAAAGCCCATTCACACATGCAAACCATTTCATCATTTCTTGCAGTAGTAATGCAGTGAAGAACTTGCATATGTGACCCAGCCCATATTCTGGAGAGGTGCAGGGCCAAATGATATATTACACAGTAGATTTGAGTGTAAAAGTTTCTGGTTTTTTAAAAAAGAATAAAACATGGTCAGGGGAAGTCAAAAAGGGGGAAGTGCTTAACCTTTCCTTGTGGAGATTTTTCCTTTATCAAAATATTGCTTTTCCTGGGCTGCCATTCTACTTGGGGAGGGGGGAATATGGGTACAACATGCCCAGAGTTTGTCTGGAAAATTCACCTTCCTAGTTTCCAAAGTAAGTGCAATTCATGGATGGGGTATGTGTGTGGGTGATGGCAATGCAAACCATTTCATTATTTCTTGCAGTAGTAACGCATTGAAGAACTTGCATATGTGACCCAGCCCATATTTTGGAGAGGTGCAGGGCCAAATGGTATATTACACAGTAGATTTGTGTGTAAAAGTTTCTGTTTTTTTTTTAAAAAAAGAATAAAACATGGTCAGGGGAAGCCACCAAGGGGGAAGTGCTTAACCCTTTCCTTGTGGAGATTTTTTCCTTTATCAAAATATTGCTTTTCCTAGGCTGCCATTCTGCTTGGGGAGGGGGGAATATGGGTACAACATGCCCAGAGTTTGTCTAGAAAATTCACCTTCCTAGTTTTCACAGTCAGAGGGATGGGGTATGTGTGTGGGTGATGGCAATGGGCCTGATTTAAAAAAAGAATCCAGATGTATCATATTGTTTTTGGACATCTACCAGATCCAGAATCCATACCAGGACCAATGACTCCAAAGGAGTCACTGACATTAGTATACTGTGACACCCCTTTTCCACTCACATAGAGCACCTATCACCCTCTGCACTTCTCTCTCTCTCAGGGTCAGGGTTAGGAGATCACAAGCTACCCTTCTCGTCTCTTATAAAACATAGGTTCTTTCCGCACTAGACCTTAAATCCTGGTTCAGCCCTGTCACCAAACTTATGCTTTACACTACCCGCAAGTTCACCCCTGTAATTATCTCAGGGTATTTTTAGTTTCCACATTACATTGAGGTCACGTCAGGTTCGACAGCAAGTAAATCTCCACACATGTTTCTAGGGAAGCGCTATACTTTATTACACTACAGGTCTGTTGCCATGATCTACAGGGATATTGTTAGGAATGACAATGGGGCGGATGCATCCCTTCATATAGCGTGATGCTGCAAATGGCTAAGCAAATGAAATCCAAGCGCGCACGCGGGAATTCTCCCGGCAGGAGGTCACATAATGAACGGGAGAGTCTCCGTGCCTCATGAGAGCAGAAAGATTCACACCAACAGCGGAACGCAAGCCCTCCCTCTTCCTCAAGGTTAGTCAGATAACCCAGTCTGGCAGCGCCCGTTCGCACGGTCTCAGGAGCGCCTCCCTATCGCTGTTTACAGCAAGCGAGCAAAGCAAGCGAGCAAGCATGCGCCATAGCGCCACAGTCAGGAAAGGACACATACAAATGAAATATGGCAGCCAGCTGACAGGTCACCCCAATTTTGCCCCACACTTGTCCCGGGATAAACAGATGCTGTTATAGCCAGGGATCAATGCAAGGCAGAGGTCATTTCGGGGGGGAACGCGGGGGAACGCAGTTCCCCCGGGTGAGTTGCAGGGGGCGGGGCACATGATGAAGCCACGCCCCCTGCTTCCGGCCGCCCCGCTTCCAGCCCTCGTTCAGCCAGGAGGAGGCAGGAGAAGAGGGAGGGTAAGTTGCTTCCTCCCTGCCTCTCCCCACCCCTGCCTGCCTGGGGCCAGGGAGGGCCTTGGCGGGGCTTCCTCGCACTCCCGCTGGCCTTGCAGGTCCACCGCCGCGCCCCTGATGTCAGGGGGTGTGGCATATGCTAATGAGTTTAAGTTTATAAGGTCATAATTGTTTGGATTTAATTCTGGGGAAAACAGTGAAGCAAATAAATATGTCAAAGTTGGAGACAGATGTGTAAATGTATCCTTCTTAATTGTGGAGTCCTACAAGTAATTAACTGAGACCTTGTTGTTATGCTCCATCTGTCTCTTCTCAAGCATGGAGGTAACTAATAGCATCTTTGAGGTGGGGTGATTTGTAGCGTAGTGTTATGTCTCCTCTGTTACCAGACCAGAGAAATGCATAACAGTATACCATTCTAAGGCCCCATTCATACAGAGGATTTGCCACGGTAAAGGCACGAATGGTAGGCGGATCTTCGGTGCGAGATCGCACCGCAACATCTGGGAAGCGTAGCACACCCGTACCCAACCGTCAGAAAGTGCAATAGTATCCGGAAAACGGGGGCAGGGGCGGACGTCTGATTGCGGGAGCGCTAGTATCTCGTGGCTTCCGGAGCCCGTCTGAGTTCCGTCGCAAACCAGATGGTTTCCCTAAGCGCATGCGCACGAACACTAAACTGGAAGCAGTGCTGCTCTGCAGAACTGCGCATGCACACAAACACGGAACGCTTGCCATGCAGCTTCTTTGCCAGTTCCAGCATCGCTGTGTGATCGTGAGCTTCCTGCCACAGCGCAAAGACTTGGGAGACCGTGTGATCGAGCGAAAGTGCTTTATTTTGCCCCGGAGCAAACAGCCACGCCTCACCCCCGCGTTATCTGGCCCATGTGACCGGGGCCTAATAATAATTGCATTACATTACAATCACTATTCTAATCTACTATTCCAAATAAGAAATACACTAAAATAAAGAGGATGTATATCCCTTCTTTGGAGCTGCGGTGGCTCAAGTGGTTAAGACGCTGAACTGCAGGCTGTGGAAGGTCGGTAGTTCAGCAGTTCGAGACCTGAGTGTGCCGCATGACGGAGTGAGCTCCCGTCTCTAGTTTCAGCTCCTGCCAACCTAGCAGTTCGAAAGCAAGAAATTGCAAGTAGATAAATAGGTACCACTTCGGTGGGAAGGTAACAGCGTTCCGTGCGCCTTGGTGTTTAGTCATGCCGGCCACATGACCACGGAAACGTCTTCGGACAGCGCTGGCTCTTCGGCTTTGAAACGGAGATGAGCACCGCAACCCTAGAGTCGGACTCGACTGGCTTTCGAGCAAGGGAACCTTTACCTTATATCCCTTCTTGGCAAGAATACAGATGTAAGAAATGAATGAATTTAGCATAAATAGTGAGATAAGAAACCAATATCCCTGTTAAATCCTCTGTGTGTGTGTGTGTGTGTGTGTGTGTGTTCAAAGTGTTGTAATAACTTGTAATTCATCAGTTTCCCTTTCCAGTCTGTTCCTGAAGTTCCTTTGCAATAATACAACTACATACATCAGCAGATGGAGTAGCCACCTTTAATAACAGACACTCACGCAGAGTTATTGGGTTGGGGCTCAAACACTGTTCAGTTCACAAGCTGCCACCATTTCATATCTTATCAATCCTATATAGATCGATATATTCACTTCTGTTTGTGTGTGTGTTCCTCTCCCTTAGACAGGCAGCCCATAGGGCTAAACAAAAGCAAAAAAGTTAACTTTTATTTATGTTGTCAACATAACACTGGAGAAAGAAAAAACACTGAAGAAAGTTACAAAGTTTCGATTCCATAGACATGTGGTCCTATTCTCACAACCGGGATCCTTTGGTTACAAATTGGCTGTTTTCAGCCCTCTCTAAGCAGCTCTTCTGCAGTTTAATTAAGTTAGACATCAACCTTTCCCCCTGCAACTCCCCAGCTACTAACTCCCAAATGCCCATTGTTAGGGTGCGTTCAGATGGGCAGCTAATCCCGTCATTATGCCAGCTTGAATTTTATCCCAATCTTTTTAATCCATCGTAGCAGGACCAGACATCCCCCTGGTGAATCGCCTTACCGCGCGCTGCCTCCGTTGTGGATTGTCTAGATGGCGTCCACTGAAGGAGGCATGCGCAGTGGGGTTTTTTAAGAAACTTTTTTCGCATGCGCATAGGTGTCACAGTGCGTCCTTGTTGAAGGAGGCGCATGGTGGGTTTTTAAAAAACTTTTTGCGCATGCACATAGACATGACAGCACATTCTTGTTGATCCGCGCATGTGTAGAGATTTTTAAAAATGGCGCCCGCTTGGGATGGTCTAACGTCAGACCACCCCGACAGGAGGATTGCGCACTGGTGGAATGATCAGACGGGCGAAAGCCCGCAGTTGTCCCGCAGGTAACCGAAAACTCCAGATTTAAAGTGCTACCTTTTAAGTACGGCTCCGAAGCGTGGCAAAACGGGATGCCCACGGAAGAGGGACATTTTCCAGATGTCTGTGTCTGGACATTACCTTTAGATCCGTGAGGCAATCGTGCCTCGCGCGGATCTAAAGAGCCGTCTGATCGGACTCCCTACTGCTGTTTTCCCACTATCTCCCCAACATTCCATCAACTCTCATTGGTCACTCTTAGGGAGAGGTGGAACCTAGCCTGTCCATCACAATGCATTACTGTGATAAACAATCCACATTTCTCTGGAGGGAAATACATATGTGCATCCCCCCCCCCCAATGGCAGTCCTATTTCAGCAGTAAAGTATCAATCAAGCTTAACTAGTGCATAAGAACATTAGAACAGTCCTGCCAGATCAGACCGATTGTTCATCTGGTGCAGCATCCTGTTTCCGGCAGCAGCCAGCCAGATGCCGTAGGGAAGCCTGTAAGTGGGGCCACAGGCAACAGCGGTTGACTGCTCACCTAGGGTTCCAACACAGGGGTGACAACCTCCAGGTGGAGCCTGGAGATCCCTTGGGATTACACAGGGGTCTTTTCGTAGAAAAAGAGGTGCAGGAGCTCATTAGCATAATTCATTAGCATAACTTATTTGCATATGCCACACCCCCTGACATAACCAGAAGTGTGTCAGAAGGCAACTCCGCTGGACGGTTTGGGTTTGCTAGGTATGGGGGGGGGGAATGCGCAGATCTGCCCTCACAGAGGAGGGAGAGCTTGTACCTAAAGGCGGGCCGGGGGGTAGGCTCTGCAACTTACCTGCCTGCTTCTTGCTCCTCATGGCCCGACTGAGGGCTGCTGGGAGTAGGGGGCAGGGCTTGTTGCATGTGCCCATCCCCTGGGCTCCTTACTGCCGGAGCGCTGCTCCTGTGCACTCCCGCAGGAAATGACCCCTGGGATTACAACTAATTTCCAAACAACAGAGATCAGTTCCCTTGGAGAAAATGGATGCTTTGGAGGGTGGGCTCTATGGCCTTATACCTCACTGAGACCCCTCACCAAGCCCCCCCTCCCCAGTCTCCAACCCCCAGATATTCAGGGATTTCCCAAACTGGACTTGGCAACCCTATTCCAATTATCTAGTTTTTGTAATTTTAGGTTTTAGCAAAGCCAAACTAGACAGACACACACAGAAAAACAAGTTCACAAGATTCAGAGAACACGACGAGAACATAATAAAAATCGTTTATCTTCAGAATGCCAGTGATCAACAATAAACTCAACATACTGAGAGTCCCGGGAAACAGAACTGCAATTTCAAAGAAAAACAATGAACTATCCTCGCTGCGGCTCGTCAGACTGAAGGATGGAGTAATTTTAGCCGGCCAGCAGCAGTTCATCATACTTCTGCCGAGGAGGGAGCTCAAGAAGTTCTAGGATCCCAACTGCTTTTGTGAAAAATATACGCTTACCATCATGCAAACAGCGCAATCCTAAGCATGTTTACTCAGGAGTGAGTCGCCTCGATCCCTTAGCCACCGCGCCTAGGATTGCGATCATAATAATTTACGACTCATTTGGGACATTTTTTTTGCTCTACATGCCAATGAATGATGTACTCGCCGAGTGGGACAAAGAAAGAAATCTTCTTTTAACCGCAAACTTAAAAAAACACATTTCCAGTTTCCCGCAGAAGTCGCCCATCAGCAAACTGAAGAGTTGTCAGACAGACATCTGGAACTACTTGAGGATGGTTACAGTGCCTGTCTTAGGATCTCCAGCGTAAGGAGAAAGATCTCTGGGTAAGGATACAGGACCAAAAGTCTTGGCTGGGAGCAGCCCCGTAGCTACAGTGGGGGCATCTCGGGGCCCGGCCCCTGACTTACCGCCAAGGCCCCACCCCAACTTCCCATCCAGCCCAGGTGCTCCCTTGGGGTGTGTGCAGGGGTGTGGGGTGCCCCCTGACTTATTTAAAGCCCCCCCCCCCCCCACTTAAAAAAAACCGGGCTGCAGCC